CATATACGACACGTTTACGGTACGGAGAAAATACGGACCGTAAAACTGTTCCCTATCATACGGTGAAATACGTTCCGTTTACTGCTAGTATTCTGACCGTTTGCGGCCGTAAATACACCTTTTTTCAGCGTTAACTACCGTGAAACGGCGCGTAAACGGTATTCGTTTAGACCGACCTGGGCCCTCTCCTGCTTTTTAAAATTTTGAGAAAATTTTCTCCGTTTTTGGAGAAAACTCTGAAGCGATTTTCTTCGTTTTCTCCCGTTTTTACATATGATCTTTTACAAAAAACAGAGAAAACGCTCATTCTAAAGAGAAAAAAAAACAGCTCCTTTTTTGTTATTTTTTTAAATTTCTTCTTTGAACAATTAGTGCTGTGGAACAAAGAGGAAAAGAAGAACAGTAAAGACGAATAAAGTTTTAATTGAAGAAAGGGAAGGGAGCCTAAAGAAAGTTGCTGCGTTTGAAATAAAAGGCAATAAAATATGTTAATTGCGAAAAATTTTTGACTACTTTCTCCGTTTTTGGACTATGTCCCCCTTCCTGCTCTAATCTCTTCGGGCCGCCACTGTATAGCGGACAAAAGAGACTAGTCATGACGGGTCGAAGAGATATTTCAGGCCAGTCTAGACGGGTTATACAGACATTTATTCAAAACTGGACTAGTCAGGACGAACGAAAGGGACGTTTCAGACTAGTCCTGACGGGATATACGGACATTTCAGACCAGTCATGATGGCCGTCTTCAGTAATTTTTTGCTTACCTGGGCTTGGCGTGGCCACACCTGACATGGAGCGGCCATGTATGGCGTGATGTGGCCCTATGTTTAGCCATGGCGTGGCTACTGCAAGTATATGAATTGAATCACCCACATTGTGGGTACACGGTTGTGGCCACGCCAAGTAAGACGTCATGTGACACGCGTGTTTAGCATTGTGATTTTTTCCTATACGGTTTAAGGGACCCCCCTCAGAAAAAAACTTTTTATTTTACATCCGATTTCGATGGCGCTTCCAGTGACTAATGCTTACTGTCCTACAAGCTTATGCTAAGAATTGGAAATCGAAACGTTGAAGCGCTGGCGAGTTATTGCGTGATAAAGGGCGAAATGGGGCTCCCAGCAAAAGTGTAAAGGCTTTTTGTTGGAAGGTGCAGAAAGCTGCGAATAGTCTCAAATGAAAGTAGACACCTAAATCTAAAATTTAGTTCGGGGCGATTTTTGAATTTCGCTTCCGTTTATTTCCTACACGTATTTTAAATCAGAGCTCTGGAAATAACCTTAGTCCGGCGTAGTATTTTGCCACTTATCTCTGCACAGAAAACAAAAATCAAAAATCGCCGCGAATGAATCTTTAGCTTTAAAATAAAATAAAAATGAAGGTTTTACGATGAGTCGTCGAGAAATTGATACAATGTTACACCGCTAAAACCATGTTCTGAGAAAAATGTCATCACTGCATCATCACTGCATTAATTATAGTTCAACGCCTTTAGCAAAACTAGTATAATTCTGCAAGACGAAGTCGTACAAACCTGCTGGATATCTCATTCTGATCAGAACACTCTGCTCAACATAGCTCCATGTCTGTTTAAACGGACAACCTTAACAATTTTAATTAAAACGTGAAATTTAGAAAAAGGTGATTTTTAGGGCTTTCAGAAATCTCTTTCAGAATTCTCCAAAAACATTGAATTTTTTGCAGATTGAGATGGATTCTGAAAGATGACACTTTGGGATACCGAACCGTATGGTTACTTCAGTTTCGAAGATTTCGAAGAAAACATCGAATTCCTGAGTCTGCCCTTAAGGCAGATTAATTACATATATTTTTGACAACAGCTGTGAAATTTCACTCTTTTTGTTTAATAAGCTTATCTGTTACATTAAATTCTCTTCGGTACTCCAGAGTTGTGTTATTAAAATTTTATGCGCTGTAAATGACCGTAAACATACCATATTTCTACCGTATATAGGCGCTTCACGGTATGGAATTATTCGAACGATAACTTTGCTTTCGTCTAATTAATATTAGTTTTATTGTCAGATCACGTAAGAATTCGTCAGATCTTATAAGATTATGTGCCTGATCGTATGCAGTAAGATCTTGTTACAAGATTTCATAAGAAAATGGCAGATCTTGTGAGATCTTGTAAGATGAGTTTCACCTGGGACGGCCGAGTTACATCGCGGATAGGGCGGTCGAATACGGCGCATTTACGTAGCATCGTAAACGAACATCGTATACGGCACCGTATTATACCGTAATTGAACCGTAATACGGTGCACCGTATACGATCACCGTTTCCAGGCCAAAAAATCACCGTGATTTAGGCGAATACGTACCGTATTGTTCGATCTGGGATAGCTTAATTCTGAAAAGAAATTTTACGGCCCAAGCAAAAACTGGGCGGAACCTCATTCACAGATGCGTAAATACATCTGAGCGAAAGCTACATTTTGATATAAGGCTTGAGCCGTAAACATTTTCGCGCATTGAGAAAATCAGCTTACGAGGTCGCGCGTTCAAGCCAAGAGCCATGTTCTAACGAAACAGTTTTAAACCCTCTGAAAAGGTAGAAAAGATAGCCCGTGTCCCAGGGTATAAATTGATAACAAAAGATAATTCTTAAAACTCGCGAAAATAGGTGAAAAAACTTTATTTCTAAACATACAGACCTAGAGCCGGTATAAATCTCATTTAAATCTGGGACATCAACAATCACTGTTTACGGATGATTATCTGAGTCTATCGGATAATGGTTCTTAAACCTCTTATACTCTTCCTCTGGTGTTAGCTATTACATGGTCGCATGGTAAATGCGTGAAATTAGGTCCATTTTCTTCTGATAACAATATTTCACTTCTATATTAGAGAGAATTTCTGAGTCCATTGAGAATAAAACAAGAGATCCTTAGGACCTTTTGTTCGTGAGAAAGCGCGAAGGAATAGACAAATCGCACTTTATATTGAGGAAAGATGACATATGACACAGTCTGAGGAAGATGAAAATCAAAATAGACACTCCCTTAAGTGTTGTTTGTATTCTAATGGACGTATTTATTTATATACTAATTTATTTGTAGTATGGATTATGGATGGTTAATGTTTAATTATAAATGGGTGTACAGAACTACGAAATTTTTTTTAACTATTGAAGGTCCAAAAGATCAAAGCAAAATTCCAATTCTATGGACGAATCTCACGCTAATAACTTCTATCCCGGCTATTCTCGCTAATATTCTTTTTAAAATGCTTTTAGATAAAAATGAATTCTTCTGATACATAAAAAGGCTCTAAATCTTAGTTAGATATTAAATACAAAGATTTTTTAACGTGTTGCATATAAGATTGAGTTTTGAACGATAAAAATGCCTCTTACCCGCTTTTTAATCGTTTCAGAATAATTGAATGTCCTTGCGTACCTAAAATCGAATCGCAGAAATTTCGTAGAAATTTCGATTTCAGATCTTAAAACTCTTAAACTCTTTCTCTGGTGTTGGGTACATGGCATCGCATCGTAAATGAATGAAATTAGGTCCATACTGTCATTCCACCTTGCCAGTCTGAATCCATTCCTCAGTTGGTAAAGTACAGTTACTGATTTGTTCCTAGAACAGGATAATATATTTATAAATTATAAATTTATTTGTAAATCACTAACAAAAGATTATTTAGATAACATATTTAAAAATAATCATTAGATTGTAGTTAAACACAGTATACTTGCACGTCTCACATAAACTTCCTTTCTAGAATAGTTTTAAAAAAGAACAACTAACAGTTGTTCCACACAAGTATAAATATTCCGAAACTCAAAATGAAATGTTATGTGATGATTCACTCTCATGCTGCGCACTTCCTAAATAACTCAAATGAATGAATTGTACCCAGGGGAAGAGTTTAAGAGGTTTAAGATCTGAAATCCAAATTTCTACGAAATTTTCGAAACCCACATCGCTGATATCGTCTTTTAGGTACAATTTGTCTCTTGTAGAAACTATAAGTGACTCGGCCAATGATGGTTAAAGGTTCTGTATATAGAATATTGTAAACTAAATCAACGGCTATGTTTCTACACCAAATACAAGTTGCATCCTCGTTTGTATATCGTCTCTGATACCATTTTTTAGATCAATTTGTCTCTTGTAAAAATATACCATCATGACAAACTGCTGTGTTGCCTAATTTCAATATTGACTTTTCAATTCGTTTTCGGTTATTTTGGACGTGAATGCTTTTATTTTAGTTAATCTATCAGTTTCTTGTTTTATTTCTCTGTCATATCAAAATGTTGTATGCAGTTATAGAACTTGTTATCATAAACTTCTTCGAAATATGTCTTAAACATTTCCACCTTTTCTTGATCGAATTTTGCTGTTTTGTTCCGTTATTTTAGTTCGTACTTTAATTCTCGATTTGTGCGTTTTCCATGAAATCTGTTTACCACAGACCATAATTGATCACTTCTCATTTTTGATGATAAATTTTTCATTAAATTTTTGAGTTGTATTCGTCTGTCATCTGACAATGAATTTCGAACAAGTAGGCGAATTTTATAATTTTCATCTTCTAATCGTATATCGATGGGATTTTTTTGTAACTGTCTGTAGATCTAATGTTTTATCTTTATTAAATTTAGTGATTCTTTACTGGGTTTAACAGTTGTGAGACGTTCAAATGATTTCGCCTATGGTACAGCTAATTGACAAGCACCAGCGATACAATCTCTGATGAACTGACTGTAATCTACAAGTGTTTGGCTGTTATCGACTTCTTTTACTTCTCGCTTGTTCATCCGTCTGTTTAATTCTATGTGATACACAATTAAGTTTACCTGAGAGAAAACGAACTGTTTTCAAGCACATTCTTTTGGTCTATTATCTACCTCACAATATAAATCAAATGTGATTGGTCTATGTCCACCTATTGCTGCACCAAGTATTGTGTGTGTGCAAAAGTTCGATGCTAATAATGATGTTTCAACCTGAGATAACACCCAATCGAGTTTTTCAGCGTAAGAGTCTTGCATAAATATTGCTTCATTTGATCCAATTATTTATGTTGAATGATCTAGGTGAAAAATATGTCATTTTGTCATTTAGTTTTGTTTCATTTACAGAATAAACATCGACATTTGTTGTTGTTAATTCATCTTTGTATTTGTTTATTGAATTCACATTTATATCATCAAATTTCACAAATTAATTTAAATAAATATGGTTTTCTTTGTTTTTTTTTGCTTCAAACTAATTAACTAAATAATGATGTTGATGTATTATTTGTATTTTTGTTTATTATGTATCCATAGTTGTTAATTGACGATCCGATAATGAATCAGCAACATTAGAATTACCTCTTCTCATTTCCGAATGATCTATCAACGTCTGTGATTTTTTGTGTAGTTGTTGTTGATTTTTCTTTGTATTTGATCTTGCTCTCGATCTTGTTATTGTGTTATCTCTCGCTCTTGATAGGCAATTTTCCGATGATGATTTTAGAGATTTGTTGAGCATCATGGCTGGTATTAAATTGAATATCATATTTTTGTTTGTGGATGCCAATGCGGCTGTTAAAGTAGGCGAATCAGGCTGAATTTGTGTTGTTATTGCTTGTGTTTGTCCTTGTATTGGTGGTGGCATCGCCTCACCTCTATGGCTGTTTACCAAGTTCACTGGCAATGTAGATGTTAATAAAGGTGGTATTTTCTGTTGATGCATTATCAAATGTTTGCTGCATATGACCCACTACACTTATTACATATTTCAACATTTTTGCAATATTTTGCTGGATGTCCAAATTTACAACATCTATAGCACTGAACGGGTTGTGTATTTGGTTTAGCTGGTTCTGCATCATAATGCAGATAATCAATTTTTAATCCGGTTTTTAAAAATGTTTCACAGTTTAATTTATCAACAAAAATAACTTTTATTGTATTTTTGTTGGTTTATTATCTTTTTTAACCTAAATACGTTCAGCACCGTCAAATTTAAAATCATTTTTTATTAATGCATGTTTGATTTCATCAACTGAAAAATCTTGGTCAACATGTTTTATAAATGTAACCTTTTCTGTATCCGACACTGATTTGATGTTACTTGGAACATAGACATGTTCTGGAAGAAATTTCATGTTTGTCCTGTTAAATTACAAAGATATTTCATCTCCAATCTGGACGTTCGGGTTTAAACCTTCTTTTCGACAGGTATGGAGAATCTAGTATCATGTTTTTTGTTTCAATCGAACGTGAAAAAACAAAAGATAACGTAAGGGTTTTCACAAGAGAAAACAAATATTTGATCAAACAAAAATGAAATAATAATAAAAACAGTGAAAAACTTCTTGCTTGCCAGGAATGCAACCTAGGTAGAAAGAAAGCATTAGGCGACACAAAAACGATCTAGGACATTGAGTCGGATTATCCTGCCTTCATAAATCACACATTTATGAAACTTGTAAAAGGTTTCATAAAATTTTTTATTTTTATGCAACTTCTGGGTTAACAAGTTCAACATTCAACTTTCCTAAAGTTTCATGAAACTTGGAAACAAGTTTCATAAATGTGTGATTTATGAAGACAGGATTTATGAAGGCAGAGTATCCCCATTGAGTCGAGTGTGATTTTAGCTCGGACAGGTTTAGTTAAACTGAAGTTCAGCTTGGCAATGTAACTCTGCTATCGCAGTGTAATTCTGTCACATCTTTTTTGCATTTTGTTTCTTCTATAATTCTCGGATGAAGACACATCCAGAGCTCTCCAACACCTCATATCAAAGAGAAGAGTGTGATGAATATTTTGAGACCTTTGCCCACTCTGGACGTTTTTTGTTTAGAAAATATGTCAAAAACACACACTGCTACTGCAACGCTCTGGATGTGTCTTCATTCGAGAATTATAGAAGAAACAAAATGCAAAAAAGACGTGACGGAATTACATTGCGGTAGCAGAGTTATGTGGTCAAGCCGAGTTCTGAAAAACTATTCAAGAACATTTGTTTTTGTATTTATGTCTGCAATGCTTAATATAGTAATAAATCATGTAATACTAACTCCACAAAACTCCTACCACGTTTTACAATACATATTCCAAATCGATTAAAATCATTCTATATTTTGTAGAGCACATCGGGTTACCTAAGAATCCATCTTCAAACTTTGAAAAAAAGTATCTGGAACATGATCAGCGAGCCACCACAAGGTGATTTCTGGCCAAAATCGGACCTAATGATGTTCAAGTTTTAGCTTTACCTAACATTTTAAAATTTTTCTGAATGAACCATTCGACACAGATCATCGAGTTGTACTTACGAGGGAACCGCCCCAGGTGCCCAATTCCGATTTCCTTCATTCATACCTCGTTTTATAGAGCACATCGAGCTGGTAAAAAGCCTAAAAGGATTTTTGCCCATGGCTCTTGAAGTCTCGGTTTTCTGCAAAACCAGTTTTTGAGAAATTCTAAAAAATAATCAAAAATTATAGTCCGCACATTTCTGATTAAAATGAGACGTCTTCCTCCTCTACATGACCTTTCTTTGCAAAG